TTTTTTTTTTTTTTGTTGTTTTTGTTTTTGTTGTTTTGTAACATCAGATTTTTATTACGTTATCGAAACCGCTTTTTTTTTTTTTTGCTTTTTATGTCTTTGTATGTGTTTAAAATAAGAAAATACCTTAAAACAGTGCCTGTTATGCAGAAATAATGAAAAAGAACAGAGGAGGCAGAAGAATACCACAGAACTGTGTGCACCTTGTAAGATTTCAGGATTCAAATCAAGCGTTTGCAGTTTACTTTGTGCCTTCTGTATTTTGGATATTCGGTGCATAGCGGTATTACAAATAACGGTGATTTGCACTTAGTCTGTTGATAATTGTTTGTTCAAAAAAATTTTGAGCAAATTGTATCACTGATGAACGATGCTGCAGATAGCGGTTTATCACCTGCAAAGGTTATTTTGCAGGTACATAAGCAACTATTAACTGGATTTTTACCTGGTAAGTTAAGCGTTTTTTTTCAACTGTTTTCAGAACTTTAGGCTAATAACTTTCCTACAGACTGAAACTGAGTGTAATTGTTTATCTATTAAATAACAAAATTACTTTTTTTTACAGTTTATTTCTCTTTTTTTTCTTTATCTTTGTTTATTTTTACCTTATAATGTATAAAGAAACAATGGTTGAAAAAAAAAAAGCAAAAACGATACAACTTTGAGTGATTTTTTTTACTATAGTGCATTTATCAGTCTAATGCAAAGTGAATTTTCATTTTTTTTTTTCATAATTCCTTTATCGCTTTTCTTCAGTTTTTCAATTCTCAACTATTTAATTTTTGTGACACTAATTATTGTTCTGTTTTTTTTATTACAATTTTTCTTCACTTAACAATTCAGAAACAATAATTCAAAAAAGCTTAAGTGTTTCATTGTCTTTTGGTTCACTTATCAGTAGCACCACTTGGGCTACCGCAAGTATTAGCGCCACCATTCAATTCAGCCACTTAAGAACATACTCAGTCTAAAAACTTGCTTTAATTGAATTTTTTTAGCTTGGGTATATTTAACTGTTGCACCTTGTTTTCTTAATGTTACTGTTTAATTAATTTTTTTTTAGTTATTACTATTAAAAAAAAAAAAAAGAAGCAGAATAGAGTTTAAATGAATAAATTTGGGAGTGCGGCTTCGATACGTCGATTAGGAACTGTAGAGGGAGAAGTTGTGTTCAGTGAGAGCAAAGAAAACTATCAGGTGCTCTTTAATTCGTTAAGCAACAATCATTGTTTCAGCTACAAAAGCGGTTGCTGAATGTGGAAACAGTTTGTTAAGAGCATTCCAAAGTAAGTAAATAGTTATCAAATTTTTTCCTTTTTTCATTTTTCTTTTTTTTTTTTTACTTTCTAAAGATTCATGTTGTTTTTAGCACTTTTTCTTGTACTCTACTTTTTCCTTTTCCGCATACATTAGTAACAGAATAGGAAGAACAGCAGCAGCAGCAGCAGCGGCAGCACTGATACTGAACCGTTAGATAGTCTTTTTTTTTTTTTTTTGCAAAATTATGAACATACAAAGTGTAGTGTTATTATTATTATTTGAAAAAAAAAAGAAATAAAAAGTTTTTAGCGAACATTATTGGTAAATTTTTACTTAAGCCCTTGAAAATCTTTTGAGCATCCATTAAACACTCTTACATTGTAGCTATTTGGGGTTTTTTTCCTGCAAAACCTTTTACCATTAGAACAAAGACTGATAAGAAAATGATTATTCTGATCTTCTTTGTTTTATTTTTGTTTTTCTTTACTAAACTCAAATTTATCGTTTATAGATTCACTGCCTGTTTCTTTTTTTTTTGCTCGGTAAGCAGCAAGAAAGAACAAAAAAAGAGTGGGAAAGAGGAAAAATAGGTAATAATTAAGAGAGTGAGCTTATAGAGATGCTGCTTAATGACCTGCAAACATATCACCGATATAATAGTCTAGAAAAATTAAAATCAACTATTTTTTTCCACGAAAAACTTCATAATTGTTGCTTTTTTTTCGACATTCTTTTTTCTGGTGTCAATTTATTTAAGTTTCTTCTACTAAGTGACGGGAGCATCATAATGGAAATATGAAGAAAAGATGGGGGAAAAAAGACAGACTTATG